GGCACTGTGGGTGGCTTCAGGTTAGCAATAGCATGGCAAGGGGGCAGGAATTTTTCTCTAGTTGTAAATGGTCAGTTCCATGGAGTGCTACTTGCCTCTAGTCCCTTGTGCAAGGGGGATTTTGCAGCTACAGAACATCCTGTTTCAAAGTCTTGCTGCATGCAGTGCAATGGCTCAAGTGATTTGTGTTGGCCAACCTGGGTGACGGTTAGCTGTGGCAAGCTTAGCTGCTGGAAAGTGGTTGCTTGCACTGAATGGTGGCTGGGGTAATGAGACAGGTGGGTAGGGCTGAGCAGGGGAAGCTCAGGCTCTGGAAGGGAAAGGCAGAATGCAATGTAGACTGAAGCTGCCGTGTATGTTTAATACAGCACTTCTTGCTTCTGCAGATGGCAAGGCCATGAGAACTGCCATGTACTGGGCCAGACCCTTGGTGCATCTCGCCCAGTATCCTGTCACAGCCAAAGATATTGCTTCCCAAGAGGTGGTGGAGAAGAGAGTTTCAGTGGAGAGTGTTTTACATCCTCCTCAAACCCCTGAAGGACTTGGGGACTAGGGTGGTACTGAGCTCAGTGCCGTCCTTTCTCTCCCAATGTGGCCCCCAAGCCTCCCCTACTAAGCGTGGGGAAGATCCAGTTCCCAGTAACAACCCTTTCCCTGGTGTGGCAGGACATGTACAGTCTTTCCTGTCTTAAACAGTGGCAGTGTTGGGGGATGACCAGGGCATTCCCAGAACTTCCCAGCCTCTCCTCTTCCACTGCAGCTTCCAGCATTCAGGTCATGGCTGGGCCTCCATAGGCCACTCTGGTGCAGAGAGCACCTGCATTTAGGGATTGTGCACCTTTGTTGTGCCATCCCTGTCCTTAGCCTGCCGATTTAACATGAGTTCTTCAGTTGTTGTAGCAGGGAGTGGGAGTGTTGGGAAGGGCTGGTGTGGTGATGGAAAGGATCCACACTGCCTCGGTGATGGTGTTGCCTGCTGCTGTATAGGGAAGAGGCTGGCAGCGCCTAGGACTCTGGCACTTTTGGGGTCTTGGCGGGGCGCTGATGCAGCAGTGGCTTGCTTGTAGCTGGCCCCAGCATGACCATGCTTTGGAGGGTGCTATCACAGCTGGTGTCTTGAGTGGCACAGCTAGGGCACTGCTGTGAGGAAGTTCACTTTTCTGGAGTCCCAGCTGCTCTTGAGGACGAAGCCTGCAGAGCACCCAGCAGCCTGTAACCCTTGGCTCCATTAAACCTTTTCTCCCTTTCTGCTGGCCGTGGCAGCCACACTAGGCAGGCACTCGGCACGCTCATTGCTGGCTCATCCGTGCTCCAGGCAAGGAGGAATTTCTGGTCGTGTGCTGCTTGGCCTTTACAGATTTGTAAACAGAGACACGTGCCATGTCAGTGATTAATAGCCTCACCCTGGCAGCTTGTCCAGGCTCTATCATCCTTGTTCCGCATAATGTGCTTGGCTGCTGAATTAGTTGCTAACTGGAGTGGACCCAAGGGTAGCTCTGCAGAAAAGCAAGCCCTAAGAGTGAGATATATATTTAATGCTGGTACTGCAATAGGAGACTGGGGAGCTGACTGCCTGTGACATGCCAAACAAAGGCAGCACCAAGACAAGCTTCTCCCATCCAGGGCTGGGTTGTTAGCCCAGAGGGTAGCTGAAGTGCTGCAGATCCCTAGTATGTAATGGACAGCAGGATCTTCAGGGCAGGCAAACTGCTTATGCTAGAGCTTTGTTGCAGCCAGGACGCCCCTGAAAAGTCCTGCCTTCCTGGAGGGGGTCTTAGGAGCATGGAGCCCTTTCAGAGCTTGACCTCTAAGCCAGTCAATACAATAAAAATACCGATTAGCTTTATCTAATTCCATACTTTCTTGCACCCCACGTGCCCCCCACATAAGGCATGCATTTAGCTTTGGGAAGGAAGAATGAAGGGAGGGGAAAAAAGATATTTCTTTTTCAGCCATGGCTGAATGCTGGCTGCAGGAGATCCTGACCGCAGCGGCTGTGGTTGCAAGGGGGTTAACACTAGCTCTGACCCTGGAGAGGGAACTCTATCCAATGCCTCCCTGAGGCTGGCAGGGGGAGAAGCACGAAAGGCTGCAGTATCTCCCTGTTTCTGTTCTTCCATTCTTCTAGTATTCCAGGAATGAAAAATCAGCTTCCCTGCTTAAGATGCCCCCCCTGATTTTTGTGGGGGGGGGGGGGGGAGGGTGTGTATATGTGAGTAAATACAGTAGTTGGATGTTGTTTTGGGGGCATCACATAGATCTTCCCTCCCCCAGCCTGGGAACTGCTAGGCAGTGCACACTTGCAGCCAGCTTCTGGAGGAGGCTTCTAGCCACTTCCATATTGTCCTCTTGCAGAAAGGCAATTGCTTGCCCTGCATCTCGGCCTTCTCAAGAGGCTGCATTAGCAAAATGGAGCAGGGACAGGAGGTCCTTAAGGGAAAGAGTGAATAAAGAGAAAGGGAAATTGCTGAGCGCAAGAAGATTTCTCACAGATCTGGGAGACCAGCTAGAAGGATCTAGTCTGTAGCAATCTATTCAGTGGGCCTTGCAACATGCTTATTTAGCCTCTTGCATGCTGGCAAGGGGTAGGCTGAAGGATGCTGGCCCAGGGTGTAATGGTGTTTATGCAGGGAGTCCTCTCTTGGAGCAATTGTATGCTTTCTTGGTCACGCATGAAGCTGCCCATCTCCCCGCCTTGGGGGGGGGGGTGTCATGTTTGTGGCCACAGCTCCTCTTGGCTGTAGGTGGGAGCGGAGCACAGGATAAAGGGATCCGGCAGGAGGGTGGAGGCACAAAGCCAGCTGTGACGTGAGAGAGCTGCTTGCCCCAGGAGAGAGGAAGCCCAGAGCCTGGCTCTGAACCCAGTGCAGCTGACGTAGCTCCATCCCCCTGGCAACTTGTGGCTCCAGGTGTGGGACTGAGGGCATCCCAGGAGGGGCGGGTGATTACTGAAGCTCAAGGTGATCCTGAGGATTCCCCATCCTCTTCCTGACGATGCTTTCCCGAAGGGGAGGGACCTTTGCTTCACCCCGGCCATGGTGCCAATGTCCTCTTGCCCTAGCTGAACAGTGGCCGTGTTCAGCATGGAGCTGGGGCTAGATGAGGTTTCTGCAGCTCCTCTAGGCTTGTTCCTCAGTGCCTTCCTCTTCTTCCTCCAGGCCCTGGAGTGTTATTTTGCAGAAAGGGAAGCTAGCTGTATGTGGGGGAAGGGAGAGGTCTCCAAGCCACAGCCCAAAGATTGGGGGGGGGGCTGTTTGGTGCAGTGAGTTTCGTGATGCTCAGTACATCTGCTCCAGACTCGCCAATGAGGTGCCTTGTTGCTGAGTCTGGAGCAGAAGGTGCAGGTTTCAGGGGCTCGAGGGAACCTTGCATGAAGCACACCTTTGCTGGGGAAGGACAGGGTTGGATCAGCAAAACGAGACAGGTCTGATGGTTAGTGCCATGGGTGGGCAAGCAGGGCCCTGGCTACTGCTCACAGGGTGGAGGGCACCAGAATGGATCTAGGGGGCACCTCTCCTCTTTCCCTCCCTGACAAACACCGTCTAAGTAGGGGCTCTGGCTCCAGCAACAGGGAGGGCAGAGCGGGGTTGGCGGCAGCAGCTGGCAGAACCAGGGTGCTGCAGGGGAAGGGGTAGGTATCAGAGTTAATCCCCTTCTCTCCTTTTTGCCACTGAAAAACAGTGTTTTAAGTGGCTGCACGACACACATTGGCAATAAAAGGTGGTGACATCTGCATCCCACAGCAGCAAACCTTGTGCCACTGTCCCGGCACAGTGCAGTGCCAACATCCAGGGTGTAGAGTGGGCCGGTTACACCTCTGGCAGAAGCCAAGGCACTTACCCCTCTGCGCCCAAGTCCTTGTATCCACCCAGCAGGGCTAGTAAGTGACCTGCTTCACAGGGTTTGCAGGGCCCCCAGCTCTGGGCTCCTCAGCCTCCCCGAAAGCAAGAGCCAGACACTCAAAAGCATTTAAGTGCCTAATTCCCACGGGTTCCAAGGAGATTTGTGTGCCAAAGTACCTTTTTGAGGATCTGAGCCCAGCTTCCTCCCTGGGCAAAGAGACAGATGGGCAGAGGTAAGCCAGCCCATTTCCTGCCCACTCTCCATGGCGTTCTTCTTGGCATATGGAAGGGGCCGCAAGAAGCAGCGCACGCAGGTCTGAAAGGATCGGGAATGCACTTGGCAGTTAGCTCTGGCTGGGCAGGAGATCAATAATTCGGCCACTTTGGAGTCCGTTGCTGGTCTCGTGGATCTCGTTCTGCCCTTCGAGTGCCTCCTTCGACACATGTTCCTTCCTCCTCCCTTCCATCCTCTCCTGCTGGGGTCATGGGGAGATGTGGCAGCCCCTCTCTTCACCTCTTGCCTCCCTCTTGGCCATGTTTTTTTTAGCTCTGTAGTTCTGTTTATGCCTGAGTCCAAAGTGGGAGGCATCAGCTGGCAGGGCAGGAGTGAGAGAGTTTGCTTGTGGCAGGCAGAGAGAGTGTAAAGCCCCAGCTGCTGGATCCACATGCTCTGTTGTTGTGCAGGCCGGTGCACGGTGCTGTGGGTCTGGGCTGGGCTGAGTGTCCTCATCTTTTTGAGTGTACAGATTTTTGCCTAGGGTTTTCTCTGTTGATCACAGCGGTGAGATTGGTGCAGGGTATTGGGGCTGTAATACCATCCCAGCTCTGTATACCCTTACTGGGCAGAACTGGAAAGCTGCCTGGTTTCCCTGATGCTTCCGGCACCTGGTCCGTCAGCCAACCTCATAGGCAGGATTCCTGACTGTAGAGCTCATTGTTTGGACATATCCAATGATTCCAGCTGGCAGCCTTATCTTTGACCTATTTCTGTGTTTGCAGCTGCATTTATCTCATATCAAGACTGCCTCTAACCAAGAGGGTTAGATGTGGGTGAGCTGTGTGTGTGTGTTCCTTATCCAGGGCTCCCATCTGTGTCTGAGACCATTCTTGCTGGATCCACACACAAGCCTGATGAATCCTTTTCTCTTTGTTTTCTAGGGGAGAAACGGTTTTCATATGAGAAAAGCGAGGCACAGACAGTCTTCTACCATGAAGATGAGCACCCTGCTCTTCTTGTTGGAGGAAAGGACAAGCTTTATTATTTTGACTTTGAAAACTCAGACAACTATACGGTAAGCAGACTACACAGCCACACATGATTTTAACTTCCCAGCCCTCCCATAAGTCATTCAACACTGTCATTCCTTAGGGTGCCATTGGGGACACTGAGTCGCAGAGAAATTCAGTGGCTTGCCCACTTTTCCCAAGCAGATCAGTGGCAAAGCCAAGAGTAGAAGGCAGGTTATTAGACAGTCTCTCAATACTGTGCCTTAATCCTGCTCTATGCTGGTCCTGTCCAGATGGCTCAGTGAGGTCACACTCCAGGGTCTGTGATGTCAACATTCAGAACTGCTGAATCAAGTATGATGTCACATAGACTAGATGGGGATGTCACTGGGTCGAGGGAGAGCAGTGCTCAAGGGCAGAGCTACCAGGATGTCACTCTTCTGGCCTTCCCATTTGGAAGTGGGAGGACCAGGCTTCTAGAGATGGCATGAGGCGGGCAGAAGGGTGTATGAGGGTGGAAGGTTTTTTACCTTTCTCCTGCTTTGGTCTTTCATGTGCCAAGCACAAACTCTCCCTTCTGGATTCCTATGTTCAAAAGCCTGGATAACTCTGAGAGCTCCAGGCTGTCCTCCACCTCTCTCTCCCACTCAACCATTGGTACCCACCTCTCAATGACCTGAGCCTTTCCCAGCAGCCTTGGTCCCAAAATGCCTCTGAAAGTGACTTGACCTGATCCATCCAGCACCTCCAAATACTCATCCTAGAGCTCCCCACTTCCGGAAAGACCAGATTTCACTTCAGTTTCTCTCTCAGGATCTGGACACACATCCTTACATAGTCTTGCTTCTCGTATGCTTTGAATGACCAATTCCCATGTGAGAACCATATGGGAAGTGCTGAATTTCAATGGCTAATTACTCTGCCATGGATACACAACCGACCAGTCTTCCTTTCTGGCTGAGATGGTGGGTGCCACATGAGCTCAGAGTGTTTAGTCAATGTTGGCAATTAGCATTCAGAGAGGGAATGAATTAACATGAGGCTCTTTCTTCCTTCTTCAGGAGGACTTCTTCCCTGGAAGAGCACCAGAACAGTGTGTAAGTATGGAGGTCTAGTTGGGTGGATTGATCACACTGAGGGATATTATGAGGCTTCCCAGAGCTGCTGTAGGGTTGCTGACCCATTTAGGGCTGGGGCTAAAAAAATGCCTTGGATAAGATGGAGCTGAAAGGGAGCCACTTGGAGATTGGTTAAACAAACCATGATCAGAGAACGTAGGTTTAAGTCAGGGAGGCTGTTGGTAAGAGGGATCATTTATTGAGATGGTGATGGATGGAAGAACTGGATTTTGTTAGTGTGAGGAGTATTTATGTAAAACTGAGTGTTGATGTGAAATGTCTAAATAGGAGACTAAGTTAGCTCTGTACTTGAGAGTAGGGCCTAGTTTGGGACACATGGATAGCGATTTGTTCTCCCTGAGTAAATTCTCTGGTACAGTAAATGAGACGAGATGATTTGTGAAAGCCATTAGCAACCCACATGGAGTATGTGCCTGCCAGTGGTCCAAAGGTTGGGCCTGGAGTGGGCGGGTATCTACCATTCACCATTGCCTTTCTTTTCCAGGGTGACCAAGCCAATTACCTCACATTCATTGAAAAGGTCAATGACAGGATTCTAGTGTGCGGGACAAATTCCTGCCAACCCACCTGCTGGCACTGGGTAAGCCATGTTTAATTCTGCTCCCTTTTTACCACTTCAGGCGAGTGAGAAGAGAACCTAGCTCTTCTGAGCCTTTGCTCAAGTCTTCTCCACCAGGTCCAGGTTAGTGTCTCAGTGTACTTCAGGGCTATAGCACAGACTGGAAGGTGGCACAGAAGGGTCACCTGCCAGAGGTGGGAAGAGAGCCCAGGAGTCCTGACTCCCAGGTGCTTGCTTTCACCTATGGCCTGGTGGGGAAGATGCTGGACAAAGAGATGGGAGACCCAGGTTCTGTGTCAGCTTACTTGTCTTGTGATCAGAGCAAATCGCTCCACGCTTGCCCAGCCTGTGCAAAAGGGGTGTTGATCACACTCCTCTTCCCTCCTAAAGTTTTCTGTAAGACTTCAGAGCCCTTTCTGCCTTGAGCTCTTTTTTTTTTTTTTTTTTTTTTTTTTTTT